CCCTGGGGAGCTGGGGCAGCGACGCAGCGGGGCCGGGGAGGTGAGCGAAGCAGCTGAACTGCTTATCCCTGCCAGAGTGGACGTGGTTCAGCACGTGCCCAGAAGCACAGCTTGGGGCACACGGGGAATCTTCTGGTGCAAATGTGGGGGCTGCAGAGGGTGGGGGCTTCGATGCCAAAAGGTGAGTCAGCTCTCCACGTTCTCTTAGAGAATTAAAAACAGAAGGGGGGACCTGTGCAGATTTAGTCTCACTAAACCATTTTTGTTTCAGGTGAAACTGGTACAGGAATCAGTCGAGATGAGTATATTGCCAATGTTGCTAAGGATATAGAAAACAAAATACCACAAGTGTTTGATCTTGACCAGATACGGAAAGGTTTTGGCCCCGACATATCCCCTACGACTGTGGTGCTGCTGCAGGAACTGGAACGTTTTAATAAGCTGATTGTTCGAATGGCAAAGTCCCTGGCTGAACTGCAGCGTGTAAGTGGGAACACAGCTACCAGAGGAGATCAGTCAGGCTCCACCTGCCCCAGGCTGGCACTCAGACTCTCACTGTCTTTCCAGGCCTTGGCTGGGGAAGTTGGAATGAGCAGTGAACTGGATGATGTGGCTCGGGCCCTCTTTAATGCGCAGATTCCTGGAATCTGGCGGCGGCTCGCCCCTGACACGCTCAAAACACTTGGAAATTGGATTATGTTCTTCAGAGCTCGGTATAACCAGTACAGCAGCTGGGTGAGCACCTCCAGAACACTTTGTGTTTCATTGATCTGCATGATGTGCTGGGCACACTTTGCTTTAGACAAGTTACTTGGACTGATGTCAGTCACCCTCTAGAACGATAATGAATCACTGGCAGGATGGGCTAGCCCCTGGCTAGGCTTTAGGAGCACTGGCCTCTGGGCTGAGTACCAGGTGTGGTGGGAGGACCAGGTGCTGCAGCTTGTCTTCTGTGATTGCAGGTCAAGGAGTGTGAGCCCAAGGTGATGTGGCTCTCAGGCCTGCACATCCCAGAGTCCTACCTGACTGCTCTTGTTCAAGCCACCTGCAGAAAAAACAAGTGGCCCCTGGATCACTCCACCCTCTACACAGAGGTGACCACGTACAGGACTGCAGAAGAGATCACTGAAGGGTCTACTCAAGGTAGGTGCTTTTAGCATTATTTGGCAAAAACAGTTAAGTAGTTAAGTAGTTAACTAGTCAGAGAGAGAGAGAGAAGAGAGAAATGGCCTGGGACACCGAGTACATTACCTAGATTATACCTCTGCAGACAGTTGCCTTGGTTTTGCATTTCCCAGTCCATGTGATTTCA